ATTTTTTTCAGCTGAGCTCCTCCTCATGTTCCTCTGCGTTTTAGCTGTATGATTAACTGTTTTCTGGGGTTATTTGTGTCTGGGATACTCTGGATAAAGAAAAATCCGAATAACATTGCTACTGCTTTTTCTGCCTTGCTGCTTCTACCTCTGCAAAGCATCATACGCTGCTGGATATAGGCAGGGGTGTTAAATGGGTTACCTGCTGCAAGAGCAGAGAGAGCCAGCCAGGGCTCCGGGGCAGTCTGCGCTCCTGCGGTGCATGGCCTGACCTAGGAAACCTCCCCAGAGCCAGCTCATCTGTGAAAAAGCTTCTTAACACCAGCTTGCTCAGTGTAAGCACTGATTCTTCCTTAGGAAAATTAACCCCTCCTTTCCCTCGGCTGAAGGAAGCATTAACAATAGAACGTCACAAGAAAACAGCAAGAAGAGATCATTTGTGTCGTGGTGCCAAAGTGGAATAAATTTAATTGAGCAGACTATCGCTGTGTACCTGGAGTAATGCTTTGACTTGAAAGGAAACGTTTAAGATCTATCCTAGTATAAATGAGGGGGAAACTGACTGGCTCCTTTCTATACAGAGTATCAACACCAAAAAGGGCTTATTCTAGTTAGCGCACTACAGCTGCCCTCCAAATGGAGCACATCTATTAACCAAATAAGTGGGCAGTCAGATATGCCCTTCAGCAACCTGAATGGGACTGTAATTCTCTAGTTTCTAAATCGCACGTTGCACCATCCAGGGAAACAGTGGAGTTGGAATTGTTTTCATTCCTGGCATGATACACAGGATTTTTCACATACTTAATTTCCTCTCCCAGTACCTGTGCTGCTACACGCAACAGGAAAATTAATAAAGAGTTTATGGCTAAAAATACGGGAATGAAAAGAGGATCAGAGCTGATGAAATAAGCTCAGTAAATCAATATAATCAGGAGGCATTGATCAGTGGAACACAAAATTCTTTTGTTGCCTTCAAAATCAATACTGAAGGGAAAAAAACAGAGGCACGCAAACATATACACTCAGCTTGGCTACTAAACTCGTCACAGAGAAAATTTAGAGTTTTTCCAAGCATTTTAGGGTCCCTCCCCCCATTTCTTTAGGGCTATTCTGTCACTTCAGAAAATGAGATAAGAGTAAGGCCCTAGAGATCCTGACAGCTAATCTAGACTTTCAGTTCGGGTATTAAAGCAACTTTCCTGTGCTCTGCTTTTGTTCTGCCCCGAGACTCTCATTTCAAGGGAAAGTTCTTCAGCCTGCATAAAGTGGGCCTGCTCCTACATATTTAACTCCTTTCCCTTGGAGATCATAGGGAAGGATAGAGAAGAAACAAAAACATGCATTAAAAATGTTCTATATTTCAAACTAGACTTTTTATTTATTTCAAAGGGTTTGAAAAAGAAGTTGAAGCTTGCTGTCCTTCAAACAAAAAAGTAAAATAATGATAATTAGGTAAAAAAATTAACAATTGAAATAATCGTTTTTTCTTTAATGTTGATGTCACTTTAGCCTCAGATTAGTCAGTGAGGAAGCTATTTTTTGTACCTGTCGAAAGGGAATTTCAAGTTCTGTGATATAGGTGACAATTTTTACTGTGCTCTTCTTTCGCGGTATTCCTTCTGTACCCCCTAAATGATCAGTACTTCAGGCTTGGAACAGTGGTACAAAATGCCAGAGACTAAGTGGCGTTACTGGGATTCAGAAGTCTGCAGTTCAGAATGAAATTCTCATTGTTTTGGGGAATGAGAAATCAGCTCTTCCTCTGGTCCTAATTTTACAGTTCAGTGAAATCTCATTAATTCTTACAAGCACTAAAGCTTCTTGCTCTTTGCAAAATGACATAGTTCAATCTTCACCAAAGACTGAAAATAGTTCCTACTCAGTAATCAGCAAATCTAGAGACATTTTCGAAGCAGTAAAACAGAATTGTATTTAATGTAGCCTATTAGCATTTTTATTTTTCTTTAATGGCTAGAAGGTCATTGGTTAAGCCCTCTACTGCAAAATGTTATAGAAACAGAGGAAAGCTCTGAGCTTGTCCCAAACAGTTTATAATTTAATAATAAAAATGTAATAATAATTAATATTATTAAATAATATTAACATAATTAATATTATTAAAAGGTAATAATAATAAAAGGCAACAGATTACCGTAAACTAATGGAAAAGCACAAAAGTAATACAGTGTTGGTTTTGGTCATTGTGCACTTGTTTGAAACACTATTAAGCATTCAGCTGAGAATAGCAATGAAAGGTTTTTGAAATTAGGAGTCTTGATCAAATCTAGATTCTTAACGGTAAATGGTAAATGATCGATGATGTAGGGCAGACTGGGATAGGCTTTGAAAGGTGAAGAGGAGAAATAAAAAGAGTCAGTAAAGGAATGGAGCTGGGAACACAGTTCAGACGAGAAACCACAAAGATGAACTTTGCACACCACCCTTGCGGACTATGAGCAGGGCAAAATCAGAGAAAAACTGAATCAAAATCCAGGATGCTGAGTCCAATTGAGAGTTTTAGTTGTGTGGAGGATAGGAGAGGTGGTAGTTTAAAGAAACTATGACGTAAGAGTCTATAAAAAGCTAAAAGCTGGGACTACTTAGCCTGGAGAAGAGAAGGCTCGGGGGGATCTTATCAATGCGTACAAAAATCTGATAGGAAGATGTAAAAAAGACAGAGCCAGAGTCTTCTCAGTGGTGCCCCGTGACAGGACAGGAGGCAATGGGCACAACCTGACACACAGGAAACTGTATCTGAACCTAAGAAAACACTTCACTGTGAGAGTGGTAGAACATTGGAAAAGGCTTCCCAGAGAGGTTGTGGAGTCTCCATCGTTGGAGACATTCAAAACTCAAGTGGCCATGGTGCCAGGCATCCCGCTCTAACTGGCCCTGCTTAAGCAGGGACTTGGACCCGATGATCTCCAAACATCCCTTCTGACCGCAACCATTCTGTGATTGTGTGAAAAACTCAAAGCAACCAGGATATGAAACTTAGAGAGAGGTTCATGTTAAGTATGATCATGAAGTTTCTTTGTTTGCTTCTTAACTCTTTACAAAAGCTTGCAGTCCCCTCACAGGTCTCCCAGTTGTCTGAGCAGATTGCTGACTCTCTGACTTTCAGCTAGATTTAATACTTTAAAATATTTAAATGGTCAGTACCTGTCATTGTATATTGTGTGTTTGCCTTGCCTGAAGATTGTCTGAGACTTACTTGCAACCTCACGTGTCCTATTAGTTGTTTGCTCCTTTTCCTTGGTGTTGAAGCACTGCCACGTAAAACACGCCTGGGGAAATGCTGTGGCTGCTGATGTCAGTTGAAGTCTGAGGCCTTAGGTTCAGTGGGTTCAGCTCAGTTTCCCTCCCTTTTTCTGTTTTTACTGTAATGAAGTTTATTTGCCTGAGATCACTCTATGAGCTCTATGTATTTAATTGGCAGAGTTATTCAGTGTGATATCTATCATCTCCATCAAAATACATAATAACACAAACACATTGCATTACCAGTACGTTGTCAAACGGCTGTTTATGTCTCCACCGACCAAGAAAAAGGGAGCAAAAGGCTATGGGACGGTCAAGTAGCAGTGGCAGTGTTTGCTGTGTAATTGCCAGAGGGGAAACGTTTTTAACCAAAGAGAGAGATTTCAGGATATTCCCAGTCTGGGTGGGGCTAATCTAACCTGCAGGGTTACATATGTATTTATATGTTTTAACATGCTTGCATATATTTTGACTGTTATTACTATCACATTTTCTACAACAGAAAGTCCCTTGCTGCACCCCTCTTTCCTTGGTATGTGTCTTCTCGTAGTACAATTGTAACATTTCTTCATACTTTTCCTTGTGTTTTTTATTTCTTGGTCCATCCCTCGTGTCTCTGTAAGGCCTCTCGTTCCCTTCTACCTCTCTCGTCTATCACTCTCTTTTGCCAAAGCAAATATGCAGTTTCCCTTCTGTATTCTCACTCTGCTCTTTGGAATTGAGCCTTTCCGTCCTTGCCGTCTCGCTTAGTCACGCCTCTCCCCTTTTAAAGCTCTTCTGTCCTTCTTCCCCTTTCTTTCCCTGCTTTTATCGCAGATTTTCTTTCCTTCACCTCCCCTGCTCATTGTCTTCCCCTACCTCTCACCCACCCCAGTTCTGGCACACCACTCTGTGTGCCCTCATACTCACGTTACATATGCTCGTATGAGTTATTTGTTCTCTCCCACGAGCGAGCCGCTGACTTCCCCACCGACCGTCTGCCACAGCCCCTGCCCGGATCCCCTCTGCTCTTGCGAATCCTCCTGCAAATGCTTACCCATCCCTCTGATACAGCGCTCCCACCCTCACATCCTTACAGTCTGCCCAGTTCCCTGAAACAGTTTTCTATAACGGCCTGGGAGCAGAGAGCTGCTAGCACTGAGGGGCAGCTTTCCAATGCTTTTGCATCCAACAAATCATATAAAAGAAGTGGTGGAAGAACCTGTGTTTCCAGCCCAGGGATTGTGGCAGTTTTATCAGGGAGCAACATCCATTTCCCCGCTGCAAGAGTATTACCTGCCCATGGGCTCTTGCCCGTGGCAGCCCTGAGCCATGCTCCCACCCTCCTGTACGGGCTGAAGGCAGCACATTTTGGAGCAAAGCTGGGGCAGGATTTTAATGGCTGAAAACTCACTCTGTGGAAGGCAACTTCACACTGATTGATTGCCTTGCTTTGCTGTGCCCCCAGCTCGTGCTTCCGTCACATTTTCTGCAATGTACGCGGTGCTCCTCTTTCTGCACTTGCACTCCTGCCATCTCTCACCTCTCCTAACCTGTGAAATTGTGCACAACTGAAATGGTTGTGGCAGTAAAAAGGACTCCACTGATCCAATCTTTGTGTCCTGGCGGGGGGGTTGAGGCATTGACCACTGGAACACTGCCTTAAAATAATCAATAACGCAGGGTGACGCACAAACCTCGCACTGGCCAGCCAGTGATAATTTGGGGTATTTCCTCACTCTCTGGAGAGAAACAACTATTTGCTTAATTGAACTCATTACTCGGGAACATTTTTGTACCTCTCTCCAACTGACACATTCAAGGAAAGGGGAAATATAAAGCTTGAAGCCAGCTGCGGGAAACTGAAGCCAGGAGGCCATTTTAGCCCTGTGTAGAAGGTAAGCAAAGTTATTTACTTACTTCTCTCAGCATTACAAAACAAAACTTTCTAAAATACCTTTCTAAAATGCTGGTTAAAAATTAGAAGCTTGCTCTAGATGCCTTGCTTAGCAAAGCTGTAGAAAGCACCTTTGTTTGCTGAGTTAGTGAAGTACTTTGAGTGCTTCTGGCAATCTAGAACGTTTTCCTAAGCTGTAATAACACTGTCAGATCCTCTGATGGAACCAGGTAGCAGAGCTGTGTTGATTTTGGTGGTAGAGGCTCTCATGAGATCTGGTGGTTGACGTTTAGGTAAGTCTTCCTTGCAATTTGAAGTGGTATTGAGATAGGTCAGAGAAAATGCAAGACAGGGTCCCCTGGTGTAAATCAGTGTTCTTCCAGTCAAATCAGTGCTGTGTTCCTTCGCACCAGGTAAGAATTAACCCCTCTGGCTATATATGAAAGATGCAGAAGAGAATTTGTAACTCATCTACAAGATCTAGCTTTTATAGAAGGCGGTGAGGTTGCGCATGTGCTTGTTTGCTTCTCTCTGTGAGGGAAATAGGTGAGGCTGGGCACATGCATGGAAAAGCAAGGGTTGGAGTGAAACAGGAAGGAAGGCGGACAAAAGTCAGTATAAAAAATGCTTTGCTCCAAAGTGCAAATGCTTTGCACTTCATTCATCCTTCATTTGCACATTGTCAGGCTACTTAGAGTCATATTTTTTTGAGCTGAGGCTCTTTTCCTAGATGCTTGCAAAATGCCCTGCCCAGTCTTGAGCATTATATAAACAAATAGGTGAAGACCATAAAACAAGAAGTAGATGTACTCTGCTAAATGTACCTTTCTGAAATAATTTAATCCCAGTTAACTTGTTCTAAAGTGGAATTGCAATATATAATGTGACTGTAAAGTGCTCAGAGGATAAAGCATAGAAGGACAATGCTCTTATTAAATTAATCACAGCAGAGAACAATGCAAATTTTTCTCTGTAGAAATGCAAAGTCAGTAGTAATCTCTGGCAGCCTCAACTACCTCACGGCAATATACAGGATCCCTTCAAATCTTTCCGTTTTCTCTCACAGTTACACAGGTCTGAGGACGCTGCCCCGTCTTCATGCCTTACCTCACCGTTTTGTTGTCCTTGTTCTGTCAGCAAAGCTGGTTGCAGCATGTCTCTGGCTTTCTCAAATATCTTCATACTGCCTTTCACCCGGGCCTTTATGCTCGGGGAACCTGTTCTGGATTGATTTCAGCTACTTCTAGCCTGCTTAATACCTTCTCAACACTCACTTCCGCCACAAAACTTTCAGGATTAGCCAACGCACATGACTAAATTGAGGGGCGTTTCACCGTTTACTGTCTGTATTTTTACAAAAACTATTTGTGTGTAGCAAGTATAGCTGCGCGTGCGTGCATGGGAGCATGTGTGCAGGTGTAACACAGGTGTGTACATGGATCACCTTCCTTGTCTTACATTTTCCAACCTGTTCATGGGAGAGCAAAGACATCCTTGTCACAGCTCATCAGCCTTCTTGGAGGATAGAAACCTGCAGCTGATATTTCGTATTTTTATGCAGTTGCAAGCCTTGAGCTGCAGTGAAGCTATGATAAAACTGATAATGAAGAAGCTGTGACCCATTTGTGCCATAAAGTTAATGCCAGGGGGAAAGTTCAAGAATCTCAGTACCAAGAGTATGAAATTTCCAACCTGTCATGGAGAAACGTTTGTGGATCCGCTTTTGTATTGACCAGCCTTTTCTCCTTTGGCTGTATACCGCGGAGTGGGTGCTCTGTGAGCTGGCATTGCTCGGTCTGGTGAAAGGGGATCTCATAGCAGCCTGCACCAAACTCGAAGGGGAGTGACAAAGACAATGGAACCAAATTCTCCTCTGCACTGGCAGAGGATATAACAAGGAGCAATAGCCACATTTATAGCTTTGGAGGTTCAGGCTGGACATTAGGAAAGACTTCTCTACCAAGGGGTTAGGGCAGTCCTGCATCAGATGACCCTGAGAAGTATCTACATCAATCTCCAGCAATGACCTGTCCTTAACAAATAGGCACAAGATTAACTATGTTTCCACTTTTTGGGATACTTTAGCACGCGTACTAAGCAGCCCTGTAACCCACAGTCTTATTTACGCTTATCTGCAGGATAGGTACAACATAGAAAACAGCAATGAAAGCTGCTTCAATTCTTGCTGGCAGTGTAACCTCAACTGAAACAGGGAAAATGCAGCTGGGAAGGGAATGGAATATGCACTCCAGTCTGCCCCACTCCCAAAACAGGATTGACTCTTTCTAGGACATTTCTGGCAGATGGTTCCTGCTCTTAAAGACCTCCAGTGGTGGACATTTCATATCAGCCTCCCAGTATAGTCACCCCAGACAACCTGGGGCATCCAGCCTCCCTGTTTACCTAGGCCTTAGCCCTACCACGAGGTCTGTCAGCCCGTGTAGCAGTTTCTGCAGCCACAGTGATCTTCTCAATGGCACAGACAACTGTCCATCGACAATTAAAATGAAACTATCAACTCATTGCATACCAACACATTTACTCCTGACAACTTAAAGTAAATCCAATTCAATAATCCAATTTGTAATGATTCCATTTTGAACAAAGGCTTTGGAGGGAACAGGCTCAGTAGAAAATATTATCTATGTAAGTCTTAACTGGAATATTTCTTGCTTAAAAACTAGTTCTTTAAAGAAAACTGATGAAATCCCACGCCTCATGTGTTGCAGTAACTCAAACCTTCTTATGTCTTTGCTCAGCAGCAAGCTACCATGTGCACAGGAAAGTGTTCAAAGTGCATTGGGATCACCCTGTTCCCACTGGCTACATGTGCTATAGTCTCCAATATTCTCCTGTACTTCCCCAATGGACAAGTTCTGCAGCTAAGTGAGATAACTGACCTGGTCTGGTTTTTCCATGGCATTGTGGGAGCTGGGATACTGGTAAGAGAGACGTATTGCTTGTGTTGCTTATGTTCATTAATACTAAGGGCTAAGAAAACCTCTGCTAATTTAACAAAAAATCTTAGCAATGTCTTTGCATAAATTTCTGAACACCTTAACTGGGAAGGTGGTATGTAGGACTGAGAAGGTGCATTCAAGACCATTCAGGTCTTTCATCACAGGAATACTGTCTATTTCTGAAAATGAATGTCAGGACTGCAAATCAGAGAGCAGCAGTAAGGCTGACTTTTCACTTTGGGGAAGAGTTATATGGGTGTTTGTCTTAGTGAGTCAAAGCAGAGCTGAAGTCCTAAGCTCAGCTTGAGGTGGTGAGTTTTCACTATTGCCTTAACTCCCTTGATACTCCTCTGACTGATTTTATTCTCATATATTTCACAAAGAATACTAAGGGTAAAAATGAAACTTGTTTCTGCAGCTGTTTGTTAAAGACAGCTAAAGGTCCACAAACGTGGAGCTGCAAACAGCTTAAATCCCAAGTGCCATCTGTGTTCCTCCACACTCGCATCCTTTTGGATTGGGATTGTGCTTTATCTGTGTTCTGTGACCAATTCTCCATTCTACCGTCCACGAAAGATTGTTTTTATGTGAATATCTGTAATGGAGTATGTTCTGGAATAC